AGAAAAGAAACTTATGCGGTGAAACTTTAAGTTGTTTTATATATATATATATTATTTATCTATATATCCAAATAATATATACAGGGAATTAAATTATGATGAGATAGGTTTATTATAAGTATACTAAAATTTTGATTTAAACTTAAATCATAATAGTCATATACAAGTATATGTAGCATATAATTTTGAGCGATTAAGATTATTTATAAAGTCGTAAAGGATTTACAAAACCTATTGAATTTGATGTAAGAGACGTTTCTATATATAAGTGCTCTTGAATCAGTACAGAAAATACACAACTACGAATAATGGGGGTCGTTGGAAGGAAGGTATAAACCGTTGGTTTACGACCGCTACGACCCGGGTTCGTTTCCCGCATTGGGCACTTTTTTATGATAAAAAAAAATGTTCCAATGGCTTCCGATTCTTGCAAAAATCCAACCCCACCAGCAAGTGCAAGTAACCAAACGGGCCTCTGGTATATTTGTAAGTGCAAATTCGAACTGCTTTTCACATGTGTAGACATGTGGTGCACTTACAGTAAAAGCAGTCGCCTACTTCTACCCACCATGATTATCATGGCCTCTACCACGTGTACTAGGGATAAGAATAAAAAGTACAGATAATGCCGATATTATGTCTGTAGTCTTGAAATGCTGAAAACTTGAGTGAAAAATGAGTGGAATCCTGAACGTAACATAAACAAAAACAGATTTTTTTTTCTAAATTGATATGAAGTGGTTCTTGTACCACACAAATGATAAATATTTTTATATCGGTAATTAAAATATGTTCTAAAGATAAAAATCTATTTTATGCCTGTAACAGTCATAAAAGTGAAGATTATGAATATCACGAAAATAACGTAGTCTCATACATTAGTTACATTTATTTAAGTAGGAATTAAGATGTAATGGTGTAAGGTACAAACACAAAATATACCTACATCAACCAATGTTATATTTAATCCCAAATATTTCAGTGACTCGCTTTCATTCTCCTCAGACGAATGATTAAATACACGTGTCGAGAACTGAATTTTTAAAAAATGCTTAATGTAGCCATAATTTTACAAAAACTTTCTAATCAACAAATTATATTTAAAAATATAAATAGCTATCAAATACATCTAGATGATTTATTTTTTTCAAATTTAGAATGCAAGCATCCACGTTACGTGCGCACACTTACAAAACAGTCTTATTGTTAAATGTTGGATGCTTTTATTTAAGCCTGTCAAATAATGATTTTCACTTAGAATTTTTATTTTAAAAATAAGTAGCGAAAATGGAATTAGTGACTAGTTTTGTTTGAAAACCAATAATAGAATAGTCGCATGCACCGTCTATTTGTAAAGGATATAAAAAGAGATCTTGATTGCCAGTTGTGATGATATCTGCCTAATTTCTGGCATCATTAAAATAAATGAACTCACTTTATATTTTGAAAATTGTTCCCAAAAGATCCCAACATTCGTCTCTAAGGAGACCGAAATGGTATAAGACCTTAAGAAATATTTCCAGTTGGGCGATTAAATATTATAGCTGATCTTCTAAATCATCACAAGCTAATATTTGACATCAGCAATACAAATTTGATTGATGGAACAGCTTCCTTTGGTTTACAAAGCGTAATAAGGAATTCTGAAAGACAACAAGGCGATTCTAATGAAGAAGAAACTCATTGTAAAAAATATTAATAATTCTAATTATATTTATATAAAATGGCGTACCTGGATTTATATAGAAAAAGAAACAGTTTTTTCTGAAAATATTTCGAGAGATTGCTCCCTCTTTATCAATTTATCGCACGGTAAACTTGATAAAGAGGGAGCAATCTCTCGAAATATTTTGAGAACAAATTGTTTATTTTTTCTTCATAGATCCAGGTACGCCCTTTTATATAAATTTAATTAGAAATATTAACATTTTTTACAATGCGTTTTTTGTACTAAAATTGCCTTGTAGTTTTAGAATTCCTTATTACGCTTTGTATTGTAAAGTTAGTTGTTCCATCAATCAAATTTGTATTGCTGATGCTAAGCATTAGCATGTGATGAGTTAGAATATCAGCTCTGATAAATTATAGTTGATATATTAACTATATATATATAGTATAGCTTAAATATATTTATATTTACAATACAATATAATGCGGCTTGTGATTGTAAAACGACATTTAAAGATTATCCCGCATGAGTTTCTTTTCAACGAAAAATCAAAATTTATTTTAAGGAGAAATAACGATTTTTTCTAACCTTGATTAGGTATGAGTTATTTTATTTTTCCGTTTATCATTACTCTTCACAATTCATCCTTTTATACCCCATTAAGGTTATAAATAATCGTTATTTCTCCTTAAAATAAATTTTGATTTTTCGTTGAAAAGACACTCATGCGGGATAATATTAAAATATTATATAAACTTATTTGATGGATCGCCTTTTGACTCAAATCTAATTAAGTTGAACAGGATATGTTCTTTTTAATATAGATGTGCCAATATGTTATGTGTGGTTTTTATTTTCATGCGCAGATTGGCTCCAATCAGAATTTATGAACTTACAAACAATACGGAGAAGGAAACAATAGAACAAAGAGACAGTGTATTAACCAATAGACCAAACACCCATTACTTTATATGACTTATAGACATACAACAAATATTTAACAATGGTATTCATTGACACCATTCTGTTCGATATGCAAAGAAATTATCAAATTGAATCATTGTTTTAATATTTGAGGTACCTTTAGTTTGCATTAGCCTTTTCAGCTTTTTCAAATGAGTAAGATTTGAAACTGCTATACATTATAAATACATCTTCTTTAAAACGATAGATACTTGTGCTAATTGTCTGAAGCATCGATTGAGGAAGCTATATGAAAGTATGAAGATTGAAATATTAACAATTTTAAATATATTATCATTAAAACTAGTTCTCAAACATTAGTTCTTCACTTAGGAAACATGGGTTAAAGGTAGTCTAATAAAGAAATCCTTTATCCTCTCATACTTGTCGTTTTGAAGAAGGAATGGTACATAGGTTCAGCCGATACTTGTGCTAATTGTCTGAATGATTGATTGAGGAAGCTAGATGAAAGTATGAAGATTGAAATATTAACAATTTTAAATATATTATCATCAAAACTAGTTCTCAAATTTCAGTTTTTCAGTTAGAAAGATTGGTTAAAGGTAGTCTAATAAATAAATCCTTCATATCCTCTCATACTTGTCGTTTTGAAGAAGGAATGGTACGTAGGTTCAGCCGATGCTTGTACTAATTGTCTGAAGCATCGATTGAAGGAAGCTAGATATAAAAGTATATATATGAAGATCAAATTAAAACAACAAATATTTAAAATAAGCCGATTTTCTGTATAACAAGAAGTATAATGATGTAGTTGAAGAGTTTTAAATAAAGTATCAGTGAAACTAGCTCTCAAACTTCAGTTATTTTTTTAAAATTTGATATATGAATCAACCAGGCGCGATATTTGAATTATTTCGCCTAATAGAGAGTAAATAAACAGCAAACAAATTTGAACTTATAATTAAATATTTACAAATTGACATGTATTATTCTACAGAGTTCATAAAATTTATATAGACAAAGTGGCTGAGATGAGTTAGATCATTTACATCAGGGAACAAACGATGTTTCACTTCTGAAAAGTTTTGACAGTCGTAGATAAGGTGAAGTGCAGTTTGTTCAGTTTCTCCGCAGGAACAAAACATCAGTTCTTCAGTTTGGAAGCATGGGTTAAAAGTATTCTAAAAAAATATTCTTCATCTCCTCATACTTGTCGTTTTGAAGAAGGAATGATACGTCGGTTCAGCCAATACTTGTGATAATTGTCTGAAGCATCGATTTAGGAAGTTAGATAAAAGTATGAAGATCAAAATATGAACAATTTTAAGTAAATTATCATTGAAACTAGTTCAGAAACATCAGTTCTTCAGTTAGGAAGCATGGGTTAAAGGTAGTCTAATAAAGAAATCTTTCATCCACTCATACTTGTCATTTTGAAGAAGGAATGGTACGTTCAGCCAATACTTGTGCTAATTGTCTGAAGGATCGATTGAGGAAGAGGGTGCTAAAAGGTTCTTTAGTGTTAGATAACAATCAGCTTGAGAGGTTCCTTGAAGTCAGGCCGGAAGTGTTAGGTTTAACAACTTCCGTCTGCTACAAACTACAGAACGGCTCGAGGTCAAATAGAAAAATTCTTTTGGTTTGTTAGGAAATTCTTAATGGTCGTTTTTTTTTTATAACGAAGTTGTAAATTAGGATTCTTTCTCTTCCGGAAGATGTTTCGTCTGTTTTACTATTCCTAATTAGGAAATGTTGCTTTTTGTGAATGAAATAGTGTGAAATTTTGTGAAACTTTAGTTGATATTTTATAATATATTACTATTAATTATCTGTTACAGAAACTAATTAGAGAGACATTTTTATTTATCAATTATAATTAAGTAGTAATTAGCTATCTTCTTGTTAGTAAAGTATGTTAATTTAGCTTGCACTCGCTGACAGTGCCAACGTAAAAGTTGGAGATTGCTTTTACTGTAAGTTCACCACATGTCTACATATGTGAAAGGTAGTTCGACTTTTTAAATTAGAAGTGTTCCATAGTCACGTTTGGTTACTTGAACTCGCTAGTGGGGTTAGACTTTTTGTTGACTTTGCTTAGAATTATTATTGAAACTGATTCCAATAATATTAATTATATGTATTGATTTACAAGAGAGAGAACAAAATATAAAAGGGAAACTAATATTGAACAAACGAACTTTTTCTGTTTCGGTTAGCGCCTATTTACCTGTGAGCTTACACACACTCTGTGGAACAATTAATTAATATATATACAACACTTTTGCAAGAATCGAGGGTCATTGGAGCATTGTTTTTTTAATTAGAAAAAGTGCTCAATGCGGGGTTTGATTAGCAGTCGTAAACCAACGATTTAGACCATCCATCCACCTACCCCCCAAAACGTAATAGCCTACATCACCCGATGTCCCCAGGTGGTCACCCTCCCAAATACTGACCGGGCCCGACGTTGCTTAACTTCGGTGATCGGACTAGAATCGGTGTTACCAATGTGGTATAGCCGTAGACAGAGGTATTCATAGATGGTTCTAATTAAATGTTCTGTTTCCTTGTAAAAAAAAAAAAAAAAACAGACAACTGGGGGATATCAAAGACATTCAACTTCCTTATGTTGTGTCCACGAGTGAATTTAGGGCCGTGAATAAAGGATTTTTGACTTAAGATCTCTTATCCTAGCTTTATGGCATACAGAAATGCATCTTTCTCGTTTAGGTTTTAGATTTTTTTTCATTTTATAAATCAACCAGGCACATTATTGAAATATTTTCGCCTATTACAGAATAAATAAACAAAACAACAAACAAATTAGAACTTAGAATTAAATATTTACAAATTTACATGTATTAATCGACAGAGTTAATGAAATTTATATATAGACAAAGTGGTTGATTTAAGAGAGTGAAATTATTTAGATCAAGGAACAAACGATGTCTCACTTCTGCAAATTTCGGACAATCGTAGATATGGTGAAGTTTAATACATTAAAGAATATCTTATCCAGGATTTAGATGGAATAGGTAAATGATATTGATTTGGTTCAAAATCACATTAATAGGTACAGCTCAACAAGAGCAACCTAGTTCATGATAATTGAAACAATGAATAATATATGTGAAGGTTATTCACATATTAAACAAAATTTTAACGTGGGATTCAATCCCGGTTCATGACTGTCGGGAATCGAGGGAGTTACCCACTCGTCCACCGCGTTGTAAAATGATATTGATAAATAAACAAAAATATATACTCCGCAATTTATGTTTATTCATTGGTTATTAAGAGAAGTTATAGAATCAACGAGATGTGTTTATGTGTGTTTACGATAAGGGATATGACAAATTTAAAATGCTGGGTAGTTTGTCATCTCGGGGCAAGCTATGAGTCACATTCTGCTCACCCAGGATGTGACCTGGTTTTGAAAATTATTCAAGAAAATGGCATCTACGGGGCAATAACCTGCTCGTGTTTGGGTTTAGCATTCATCAGGAAGAGAAACCAACTCTATTTTAAAATAGACATCAATATATACTCAAACTTAAGGAAGTGATTATTGTATTCTAGAATTTTCCAAGCCTTAGGATAGGAGAAGGTGATATTTTAACATTTTCAATTGAAATTCTCTTCAAAACGAGAGAATTCAACCTATAACACTTTTCATAAACTACTTGTACAAGTAAAAACTAGAATAACTCATATAGAATACTTGTATAAACTGGTAGACAAAACTTAAGGAAGTAGTAAGTCTTTGCTGTTGCACCGGTCATAATTTTTTTTTTTTTGGAGACGGATGTAATTTTGTTCACCTTCGGTTATCTTGTGCGTCTTCAATAAAGGTCACGGTAATGTTTTCATAGTTATTGTCTGAATCCCGATATATATGCTAAAAGTTACAATGGGAAAAGCTTGGCTCATTAGTAATAATCCCTCAACCATACTGCTCTAATAGTGCATTGCCTCTTTTTTTTTTGCTTTTATACCGGTAATAAATATGAACTCTTGAAAAGGTATTTTAAAGAAAAACATAATATGTATCAATAGAGACACCTTTTTAATTCGTATATACATTAGAACATAATGCATTACATTTTTTTACTCTAATATAAAAAAACTATAAATATACGTGGAACAAATAATAACAAAAATGTAATTTTTAGGAGTTATGGTACAGTCTGCACTACGCTGAAGAGGGACAACAGTCCGGAGCATATTTGGCTTTTCTTTATTTATCAAAATATGAGTATGCCAAAGATATTGTATAAAAAACCTAAATCAACGTTTAGTTGTTTTTTGTTCAACTAGATGGCGTGCTGTAATCATTCATAAATGCCCATTTGATCGGTCAGGCTATGTCTTTATTATTTTTTTTTAATATAAATATATTGGCACTTGGAAAATTAGAAAATACAAACTTTAGGATGAGAATACGTATTTGAGCTACTTTTTTTTATTTTTTTGCCTAGTCCTAGTACACGTGGTACAGACCATAATAATCATGGTGGGTAGAGGTTGACGACTGCTATTACTGTAAGTACACCACATATCTACACATCTAGCCACGGGCTACTAACCAAAGTGTGTATGATATAAAAATAAAAACTTCGAGATGATACAACAAATTAATTTAAGGCTAAAACAAACTATGAATGATAAACAAAAGATAAGCAATAAGGGAAGTTTACAGAGTAGCAAATATATAAACATAAAAAAATGATACTCTGTTAATAAAATAATAAATACTTTGCTACAATATGTAACAAAGGGGTATCACCTCTTCCTTTAAGAATGCAATAAAACAATACATAATACAATATAATGTGGCTTATGATTGTAGAACGACATATGAAAATTATCCCGCATGTGTTTCCCTTGAACGAAAAATCGAAATTTATTTTAAGTATAAATAACGATTATTTCTAACCTTAGGGTTGAAGTATGAAAGGATGAATTGTGAAGAGTAATGATAAACGGAAAATAAAAGTGTCCAGGGATAGGAATCGAACCCACAGTGTTCCGCTTACCGGGCAGATGCCATGTCTATTAGGCTAATAAAATAAATTTCGATTTTTCGTTCAAGGGAAACACATGTGGGATAATTTTCAAATGTCGTAAAACAATTCATTTTGGTTTATCACTCTACTATATGTTATGTTATATAAATATATGTGATCAGGTATCCAGTCGACTTATCTGTGATGAGGTATCCTGTCGACTATCGCTATAGCTGTGGTAACCGAGGGTCAAACCTGTAGTAACCGAGAGGGACAGTCAGGGCGTGGAGAGTTTTCAAGTACCTCTCTGCACCTTGGAGGACCTTTAACAATTCTCACAGAGTACAGGCAGTCGTGGTCGAGGAAAGCTTGGGAATGTCCACACACAAAAAAAAAACGAAGAGACACAGTTGTAGTAGGAAAGTTCCGTGAACAGATAGGAGTCGAGCTAAGAGCAAGATGGGGTTAGAAGAGTTCTTACTGTTCTACATGGTCGGTGAAGTGGACCTGGGTACAACCGACAAGGGCTCACGCCGATGGTGAAGTGACCGTAATTTCGGCTAAAACCGAGGTTTTATATATCTTTACCGAGGGGGAAGACATGCGGGAATTTGGACTTTGAACGGGTGCAAAGGGCGTGGGACGTCTGCGCTATTCTGCACCCTTTGACCTTGATGGCAACGACTTGCCAAATTCCTCTTTAGGGTTGTTGGATTTCTATCTCGATCTCTTTCTTAGCTCAGCTCTTATTCTATTACATAGTTTTATTTATTCATCTTCAGTTTGTACAAAGTACATTACATATGGTGATGCAATGACACATGTCAATCATGCGTATAATTATTTATAGATGTGTTTCTATATACAACATGACAATCTTGTTATAAGTAGTATACAATATAGGGTTGTTGGTTCAAATTACCCTATATATGTTTTAAATATAATTTTTAAAAACTCTTTCCAACTTTGCATTACAAAATAAGTACTGTAGATATCAGATCAAGAGGTCGCCATGTAATTATATTTGTGGAATAACAGAAGAAACAATACAGCCTGTCTTATCAACATTTGACAGCTATATCTATGGATTGATTGATCATCATGGGGCAGTCTGATTGAGGAGTTACAACAGTCTTAAGGCTGATATTTGCCTGATATAAGGTTGTCCAAAAAGTTGTAAAAACTTACAAAAAATTGAAATACCAAAATTATTCGCCGTTATATATAATGTCTTTGTATTATGTATAAAGTAATTATATTATGTATTATATATATTCGCTGTAATAATATCCCCATCCCTGGACACTTTTATTTTTCCGTTTATCTCTCATTACTCTTCACAATTCATTCATCATACTTTATCCTTAAAGTTAGAAATAATCGTCATTTCTCCTTAAAATAAAATTCGTTTTTTTCGTTTAAAAGAAACATTTGCGGTATAATTGTCCAATTTCGTTCTACAATAATATTATTCGCCAAGTAATAAGAAAAACCAAATTTTAAGAAAAACACGAACTTTTGGGATAACCTTATACTAAAAAAATTGCTAAGATACTTTATAAATGTATCAATAAATTTGTTTTATACAATTTTATAACTGTGAAAAATAGTACAAAAGTTAATTTTATTTATATCAGGTGCATAAATTAAGAAAAAAAGGCATCTCCGATCATGTAACTGAAAGTTGCTGATGGCTTGCGCCATCTATCGGAATAAATATCAACTATTCATTGATTTTTAATTATTTCAGAATGGGTCAACAGCTTGAAACACGAATGTAGTTAGCTTGTCTTGATTAATCAAGAAAAGGTATTTTGTCCAATTCAGGAATAATCAAAAATCAGCAATAAAAGTGTTTTTCATATAAATACTTACATAAGTCGGTGGACGATTAGGTAACACCCTCGATTCCCGACAGTCATGAATTGGGTTTAAATCCCATGTTAACATTTTGCTTAATATGTGAATAACCTTCACATATTATTCATTGTTGCAAATATAATAAACTAGTCCATAGAAGCATAGGGCACTTCTCCCGTCAAAATAAACGTCAAAAACTGACGCCATCTATTGACCGTCGCCGCAAACTAGCGGCCTCGGGTCGGTGACAAAGCCACAACACCAGCTTTGGCAAATTGAGAAGCGTCCACCTAGAGACCATGGTTTTGGGCTAATGGCCCTCGTCAATCTAGGACGGACTTTATTCCATGAGATCCACACGGGATCTAATGGAATCTTCACAATCTACCTTTGCTTTATCAAAACACTTCTTTGGTAGATTGTGAATATTCCATTAGATTCGTGTGGATCTCATGGAATAAAGTCCGCCCTAGACTGACGAGGGCCATTAGCCCGAAACCATTATCTCTAGGTGGACGATTCTCAATTTGCCAAAGCTGGTGTTGTGGCTTTGTCACCGACCTGAGGACGCTAGTTTGCGGCGACGGTCAATAGATGGCGTCAGTTTTTGACGTTTATTTTGACGGGTGAAGCGCCCTATGCTTCTATGGATCAAT